CAATTTGTCGGCGGGAGGTGGGGGCGGGGGAAGGGTGAACGATTGGGGGGGACCGGTCGCATAAAAAAAAAATAAAAAACCAGGAAACTTACGGTATTTTAGTCGCGAGCGCAAGCCTGGGATACGCGTCGCGAATTAGAATTGTGGATCTTCGTGCGTTTACGGCGCTCTTCGGCAACGCAAGTAAATTTGTATATTAACAGACGTTAATGGCATTTTTATTATCCCCTTTTACGACTAGTTATGGGGCCCCGGTACGAAACAAATAATTTTCCTTTATTCGAAGTTTAATAAGATCAGAGATCCGATATAATGATATAAGGCCCAAGATGCAGTAAACTATTCCGAATGCCTTGCCGCTCGCTTCGTAAATGGTACTAGACTACTTAAAACCCGTGCTTTACTGCCGAATAAAATACAAACTCGTAATCTTCGCGAACCACACGATATATATATATATATATATATATATATATATATATATAACATATAATATAATAATATAATAAATAGATCGATTAATGCCTACGAAGAAGGGCCCCGTGGCACCAGGGGGGAGGGCAGGGGGGACGGGAGAGGAGGAATTATTACAAACGCTAATTGTTGGGTCCCGTTAATGGTACCAATTCTGCCTAACACCTGTGTCTTTATTGGACAATAAAACACAAGCTCGGCAATAATATCGGCGAATTGGGATAAATGATTGATTGATACCGCTCGCAGGAAGAAGAGAGCCCCCTCCCCCCTCCGCGCGGTATACACTGAAATATTCCCCGATGCTCGCCATTTGCCTCGTAAACGGTGCGCGCTCTATTCCTCTCGAACGCTGCCGCCGTTTTATTGCACGATAAAATACAAGCTCATAATATCGACGAATTAGCACGCTAATGACCACGCTACCACGGGGAACGCGCTCCTGAAATTATTTCCAATGCTAACCGTTGACCTCGGAAATCCTACTTATTGCACATTTTACGTTCTTTCAGCCGGGGATAAAACACGCGCGCGCGCGCACGCGCAACGAGATGATAGATGCTCGCGAGTGGCAAGTCCGCGAATACGCGCGAGAAGATTAAAATAGAATTAATTATATAAAATAATTGCAAGATAGATATATAATAATCTCGCCGATAATATCGGCGATGCTTCGCGAATGCTCAGAGTGTACGCGTACGATCTGGTGCCATTTACAAAGAGCGAGAGAGAGACAAATAAAATGAATAAATACGTTCCAGCGAACCGAGGATCGCTGCTACGAACCGCCGACGTTACAACCGAAAGCGTTCCCTTTCGAAGGAAATCGTGTTAGAGTGTTCGCCGGTGGAAGAGGAGGCCCCCGAACGATTCAGCCCTGCGAGTACGAGAGAAGGTCCCACTGGTCGAGTGAGTCTCCTCGAATGGTATGCCCTACGAAACTTTCCACTCACCTGCCGCCGCTGCCGCGCGATCCAGAACGTGCTGGTGGTGGTGGTGGTGGTGGTGGTGGTGGTGAACGAGGGTCGCCGCGAGGCACGTCCGCTTGCAAACTAATTTTTGTTTTCCCCACTGGTAACTCCACTGTGTGTAAGTTGGCACTGTATTTACCGTATATACATGCGGCACGCACGTATATACTCTCGCTCGCAGTCGTTTACAGTCGTGCACGTACGCGCGCGCGCGACGTCGCGGTGTGCGCAGCTTATATTATATACACACATATATATATATATATATATATATATATATATGTATATATATATATATGTATATGTATACGCGATATCTGTAGCCGGACGCCTACGCGCAGCTACGTGCGGCAAGGTACCGGTCGCGGTTCCGCGGCGATTAGCGTACGAAGAAGACGGGTCCACGAGGAGCTTCGTACGTAGCACGTGAACCACTTTTTCGGTGGGAGAACGGCGGTTCGGCGGCTCCGGAGTAAGAGAGAGAGGGGCGGCGGGGGGCTCGGACGGTCCGTTTAGGACGCGCCGCTCGCGAGAATACGAAATATATCGAGAACTGGGGGAGGAAGAAACGACTGGTGACGACTGGCCCTGCTCTGACACAGATCACTGACCAATTCCGCTGGAGGACTGACGCGATACTGACTCGACGTCGCATCTGGCGAGGAGCGCGACAACCGGCTTCGCGGGCTTCGGTTACACTCGAGCGAGATCGGGACGGCTCGGCCCGCGAACCTGTAGCCCGCAGACCAGCTCGGAGACCCGCGAGCGCTGCTGTACACACGGGGCACGAGCGGAGCGAGGCGCGAGAGTGTGCGCGCGCCGGAACACACCACCCGGCGCGCACACCGGCCTACAGTACGTCAAGGTAAGTAACGTGCGCGAAGGTATAGGTACGCCCACGCAATTTAGGCCCCCCGACGATAATGAAGAACTCGGCTGTACCCCCTTTTACGTGAGCGTGCATTATGGCCGCGCGAGATGCGACCGACGTTCCTCTCTCGAGAGACGAAACAACCTGGCACAGTTTCTTCTTCTTTACTCTCTCTCTCTCTCGCTCTCTCTCTCTCGCTGTTTTTCCGGCGAATTCTGCAGGCTTCGCAGGAAACTACGCGAGCGACGAAATTGTGGTTTCTTGGGAGGAAGAGAGGAACGTCGATGTCTTCGAACTATTAAAGAAGCCAGATTTATTTTTATCTTTGCGCGTAATTAAGACCACGCTGGCTTTAGTTTTCCATTTGTTGCATTAACCGCCGCCGAGCCAATCTGAACGACCGGATTTTGATTTCTTTTTTTGTTTGTTTTAAAGTCTCTGATATTATTCTTATATATAAAGTCTCTGTAATTAAACCGCGCGGATCTTAATGTAGAATTTAATATCATTTTTCAAGGCGTGATCGCGAGGAACGGAAATTAAATAAAAATTAATTGTTTCGTTTGATCGTTGCGATAGACTGAAAATAGTGAAACTGTATTTATTCGGTTCTTTTTACGTGTTCACAATTTTTATATTTTAGCTATACGCTATTTTTGCCATGAACGCATAAAATCCGCGGTAGTAATTATAATTTAATTATAATTACGTCATGTTTGTCAGTTTGTAATATTTATATGATGTTTTAATTATATATTAGGAAGTTACGTCAAGTTGTTATTTTAGTTAGGTTATGTCAGTTTATAATATTTATATGATGTTTTAATTATGTATTAGGAGGTTACGTCAAGTTGTTATGTTAGTTAGGTTATGTCAGTTTATAATATTTCAAGTCAATTATTGTAAAAGCCTATTATCGTAAATAATAAAAAGTGTATAAAAATATTGTAAGAGTATATATACTTCAAATAAATTTTCTTCGATGTTTATCGGATTTATAGAATTTGAAAGGTGTCACCACTTTGCAGTGGTTCCAGCAAAAATTGATCTACGATTTTTGCGCCTTCTTAATGATCAATATTAAACAAAAATATTGTTAATTCTTGTTTTTAGAAATAGGTTACAAAAGTAGAAAATATCACAAAGATCTCCAGTTCTAATAAAATAACGCCAAAATATGTTACATTGAAAATATATCAAGAATTCTCAATCATTAAAATCGGACAAAAATACTATTAACGCTTGTTGCAAATAAGTTGAAAATTCAAAGATGTCGTCGATGCGAAAAGATCTCGAATTCAAATAAATCAACGCCAAAGTATATTTTATATTACACATTGAAAATGTGTAAAAATTCTTAGCAATTAAAATCGAGCACAAATATCATTAATTCTCGTTAGAATCAGGTTGCAAAATTAAAAGATGTGAACTCATGGAGATCCCCGGTTCCAACAGCAGCCATAACGTGCTAAATACGTGCATCGATAAGTGTTGGAATTCTTCGTAATTAAAATTGAACAAAGATAACATTAAATCTTACTAAAAGACCTCTTAAATCTTGTTAAAAATAGATCTGAAAACTCACCGATGTCGCGCGAATACGCAAAGATCTCCCCGATTCCAACAAATTACCGTCAAAGTAAAATAACTGCGCGCACTGAAAGCTGCTGGAATCCTGGTTGCAATTAAACGAAACCGCAATTAATTCTAGCCGGCAACAGGTTGAAATTTGCGGGCATCGTAAACGCATAATCCGGTGCGAACATGTTACTAACCAAATATAAGTGCGTACCCGGTGGACGGAACTTTCGTGCATCGCTAAAGAGATGGCGCAGACGACGGAACCACTAGTCATCGCTGTCCGCGCGGTCCCGATTTACTGGACCGCCTGGGAACCAATAACCAATGAAATTTTCGGCGACGTCCGACTCGCCGCGATATTCTCCCTGCCTCGCGTATCGGCCGTTTAGATGGCGGTTAACGATAACCGGACCGCGTAGAGAGAGGTGATCGAGAGCCGGTCGGCGTCGTCGATTCGCGGCGTCGAGCACGAAAACTCGCGTTAATTGCCGGCATTATTGCATTTAACCCACGGTTTTTCTGCTTTGTTTCGCGTCCGCGTTAAGTGTATTACCTTGTAGAAATATTGGCCGCGTATCAACGCAACCGGGCTTTCCTGCGGGGAGGAACTGGTTCTCGCGTTCGGCCAGCGAGCGAGCGAGTGCGCATGCGCGCGCGCCCTCTCGTGTCCGCCAATAAAATCGCGTCGGCCGCGAGCGAGGTCCGACCAGCGATAATCGTCGCTCGCGTAGCGCGCTCCGGCGTTTTCGTCGCGATCCTAATTTCAGCCGCGCGGAAAAGCCGCCAGGGCTAAACGGCGGCTGCTCATGGAACGGCTGCTAAACCGATCATCGCCGATGCCAACCGAGGCGTCCTTGACGGGCTCCCGGCCCCGATAAATCCGCCGATCCCGACGGATCGGCGAAAATATTACGCTGATTGGCCGCCGAATCGATGCATTTGTCGGCGACACGGCCGATTCCAGGATCGCGTTCGTGCTACCGCCGCGGCGGACTCGTTCGTGTAATAAGCGACGGAGGGGGGGGGGGGGCTCGTCCCGCGCTAAATAATCCCGTCCGTATCGATTTGCCGATCATACGTACGTACGTACGTTCGGTGTTTATCAGAGATGTCCGGCGGGAGACGATCACGGTAATGATCCGTGTTTATGTCGCGCGCGATCGTAAAAACTGGCTTCTGAGTTTACGCCGTTGTTCGCCGCGCGTGTCCATGAATATTTATCCGATATTTTCTGCAAGCGGTCGAGGAGTCGGAGGACGAAGAAAAAAAACACGCACGAAGTACGTACAATCGAGAAAGTAATTGCAGCGAAAGGAGAGCGCTGCAACATTTCGCGCGGTGTTGACGGTAAGCGTGCCCGTTTAAAATGGACGGATTTAGAATTCTATAATTTACGATTGTTCAGATTGTGGAAATACAATTATCATTATATTTACATATAATTATTATTATTATGATTATTATTATTAATACAATTATTATTATATTATTATTATATATGTTTAAATACAATTACAGGAATTTGTTTGATGGATTTGTTGCTCGAAAATTCTAAATTGATACGCTGTTGCTACGTTGCTTATATAGATAATGTAATTAGGAAATAATATAAAATAATATATTGTGAATATATGATGTGAACCTAATGTTAATCTTTTGCTTGAATCTTTAACGCCTAAACGAACCGAGCTGAACAAACGCAAAATATATTTTTGAATATATTTTTCAAACGGAGAGTATATTGTTATAAAAATAGGTGACACGACAGTCGGAGTGTTAATGGTGTAATTATGATGCACTTCGACTGTGTCTTTAAGTACAGGATGATACAACCGGGAGGAGGGAGGGGGGTATTTTTCTATATAGAAAAGTAAGACATATATATTATTATATATTACAATACTATTTAATATATATTAACTAGCATTAAATAGTATTAAATAGTATTAAATAGTATTATAGAATATTAAATAGTATTATAGTATATTAAATAGTATTATAGTATGTATTAAATAGTATTAAATAGTATTACAGTATATTAAATAGTATTATAGTATATTAAATAGTATTATAGTATATATTAAATAGTATTAAATAGTATTACAGTATATTAAATAGTATTATAGTATATTAAATAGTATTATAGTATATATTAAATAGTATTAAATAGTATTACAGTATATTAAATAGTATTATAGTATATTAAATAGTATTATAGTATATATTAAATAGTATTAAATAGTATTACAGTATATTAAATAGTATTATAGTATATTAAATAGTATTATAGTATATATTAAATAGTATTAAATAGTATTACAGTATATTAAATAGTATTATAGTATATTAAATAGTATTATAGTATATATTAAATAGTATTAAATAGTATTACAGTATATTAAATAGTATTACAGTATATTAAATAGTATTATAGTATATTAAATAGAGTATTGTACAGCATTAAATATTATGAGATGTTCAAAAATGACGTACAACTGGCCAAAAAAGTTGAAAAATTCATACTTTACAATTCTTGCACCACAATAATTCTTGAATCATTTTGCCACCCTATTGCAAATTAGATATCGTTGTGCTTCTTTCCTATTTACCGATTCGTGAATAGTCACCGTCGCTAAGGTGGGTCGTGGGGTCATCTCGAACATTGTAAACAAACCAGAATCGACGCACGAGCGAGGCAACTGTGTAATCCAATAACATACCGCACGTCGTCCGACCGAAAACAGTTCTCGACGAATTCGAAATCGTCGAAGAAACGAATGAGACGACGCCCGACTCGTCGTTGTTAACGCGAACGGGTTAATATCGCGGAGACGGACGCCAAGGTGAAAAGGATTCCGGCGTGTTCGGTCAGGATAAATCGAGCGATCCGAGGAGGTGGTGTTTAGCGACGTTAACGAAACAATTTACTGCGCGCGCTTACCACGACACGCGCATTTGCATCGGCCCGCGACCGGCCCGTGTAACGCGGGTAAATTTATGGATTTGATAATAATGAACAGGCCGGCCGCGTTACGTTCCGCATATTACGGAATTACACGGCATTACACGACGTTCTGACGTTAAGTACAATATTCAAGGATATAATAGAACGCGGTAGATCATAGACTCGGCCTGGACACCCGTGAAACTGCGAAACCGGAGGCCGGCCGTGGACCGACCCCGCGCCGCCTTCCACCCCCCCCCCCCACTCCTCTGTGTGTTTACTCTTTCGATCGCTGTAGTTCCACTTTTCGCGGCGCGATCTCGTTGACGGTGAAATTGTTGCGGAGACAGGTAACGTACGCGGAGTAACACCGGAACCCGATATTATTTATCAAACGACTCGCATACAAGCACGTCTGAAGGACGTGGTCAGATAATCGGACCAGAAATGGTTATCACGTCTGAGAGACGTGGTCATAAAATCGGGCCAGGAATAATTATTACGTCTGAGAGACGTGGTCATAAAATCGGGCCAAAAATGACTATCACGTCTGAGAGACGTGGTAAAAAGATCGGGCCAAAAATGATTATCACGTTCGAGAGACGTGGTAATAAAATCGAACCATAAATGATTTTGCCGACTGTCCTGAGTTTCTATAAAAACGAGTCGCGAGGCCCGAAGAATCGCGACTTAGTATTCTCAGATCTGCCGGCTTCAACTCCGACCACCGAACATTTCCAAGAAAAATGACCATAATCGCAAAATTACGAAATCAGTGTGACTCGTCAGTTTTCACGGGTCCAGCAAACCCGTCGTCAAAAAGGCGTCGAATTAATTAACGACTTAATAACACCCAATACATACTTCCCAACGCCAAATAACGTTAATTAATTTTGAATAAGGTCCGACAGACGCGTTTCGGTCTCGGTAATTCCGGCGTTAAACGTAGTCACGGAATATCGCCGATCGGCTGCGATCGGGGAGAGTTCGTCGAATCCGACGCGTTGCTGTTGCCGATGCAGGACAGGTAACGCGTTATATTGTGTTCGAAAGGTTGCCCGGTGTCGGTGGAAGAGCACAGCGGAACACGGCGCTCTGCGGTGAGCTCACGGTTCGGCCAAGTAATATACCGTTCGGTGTGTTTACACGCAGGCACGAAAATTGTGGGGAAAATGATGGTTGTAGGCGGGCCCCGGCTGGCCGGGGTCAGGTCGTGTCACGGAGGAGCCAGCATCCACGCCCCCCTAACGATCGAAATTCATTTCCATAATTATCTCACGACCGCCGCGCCGAGTGCTGCGCTGCGCCGCGCCGCGCCGTGCCGAGTGCTGCGCCGCGCCGCACCGCACCGCACCACGCCGCGCGCTACGCCACCTGAGGGAAACGTTCGGCCTGATTCGTCCGGGGACATGGCTCATTCGTGTGAACCGCGCGGACGGAAGTTCGAGGTTAAATTCTTCTATGGTCATTCTTCTACGGTGCGCGGCGGCACTCGTTACCTCGGGAGCTCGTTAACCCACGGCGTTGCATCTGGTTATGGTCGAGGACAAATACATGTATGCGGACACCCTTTGAAACGGTGCAACTTTTTTTCAAGCTAGACTGAATGAGGTTAATTTCATGTTTAAATGTTGAAGGGATTGATTTGTATCGATACAATGACTGTAATAATGCTTTTGTCTTTTTAATTTTGCTGGAATGAAAAGAAAAGATTAGAAACACTCGCTTTTTAAGGAGTTTAAAAGGCAATCTCTCTCTCTCTCCCTCTCTTTCGCTCTCTCTCGCTCTCTCTCTCTCTCTCTCTCTCTCCCTCTCTTTCGCTCTCTCGCTTGCTCTCTCTCGCTCTCTCTCTCTCTCTCTCTCGATTTCTCTCTCGATTGCTCTCTCGATTTCATTCTCTCTCTTTCTCATTCTCTCTCTCTCTCTCTCGATTGCGCTTTCGATTTCATTCTCTCGCTCTCTCTCTCTCTCTCTCTCTCTCTCTCTCTCTTTGTGTATACATACAGAGCCACGCGATAGACAATAAGCGTAAAAAGAGAGAGAGTTTTGCCCAGTTAGTATACCCCGAGACGGGACACTCAGCTATGGTCGTCCACCGTGGAGGAATCGGTGTGTTCCGGTTGACGAGCGTGTCTCCAGGCCCGTGTCTGAGGCCCGAGCCGTAGGACGTATTTACCGGATTCGTGGAACGGGTAACGTTGTAATTACTTCATTTCGCGGAGATAGGATATGGCACGCGTAATTTATTCGCGAGCCGGTCTTAACGACTCGAAACGCTGCGCCGCGCAGCGCCGCGCCGCACTGCGCCGGCTCTGCTAATGCACTACGAGAAGGGAGAACTGTCCAGGCCGGCTCTCTGCCCCGTAATGGTTCCAACCAACCGAGAGGTGTCCCTGAATTTGCATCGGCCACAATTTCGCGAAATGTCGCCGCGATACCGGCGTGATTGCTTAATGCCGCGGCCGTGATTAGGGCGTTACAACGACGACGACGGACGCCGCGCGACTCCGCGATCGCCCTCCACACGGCAACCACGTATGTATTAATTCCGCCGCGATATCCTAATGATACTCGCCGGCTCTGTAATTAACGGATCAGCTGGACGATAGAAACCGTACGAGGGTTCCACGAAAAAATCGTGAACCGACCGGAACGAAAGGGACATTTCCGGGAACAATTCGTAATGCGAATGCTCCACATTTTATCGGGCTAATCTTTACTTTAAGGTTAGGGTTAGGTTTGCGTCAACTTTCGAACGCGTACCACCTTCGAACGATATTCCTTCGTCGAGAGAGCTTTATTGTAATATATATATATATAACATGTATACATAATATACTTAACGATGTACTTACAATTGCTTAACGAAACGTCCTTTCACTGCCCGAAAAATATATTTATCTCGCACGCGTTGACAGTCGTTGCGAACCTAACCTAAGTAACCAAGATAATCGACGGAACGATTAAAAGAATCGATCGCATCCTCGTCGTTGGTTTAAATTATGAAAATGTAAATAAAAAGCTTATTCGAATAATTTATTTTATAATTTAATTCACGTTGATTTGAAATCGGAACACGTAACGATCAATTTACAAAAATTTAACACGACGTCTACTTGAAAAGGCTAATTAATTTGTTAGTCGATAAGACAGAATTTACGAGTAATACCGACAAAGAAACATCGTTAATATCGTTGTTGTATACGCGTCGCCTCGCACGGCGAGCATCTATTTTTCACGAAATTAAATTCGAAGTTTTTTTTCCCTAATTAGCGTTTTAATCGGTGTACCATGGATCGCCGTTTCTGCGTGCCAAAAATAAGCGAAACAGGTTCCGCGCGCGCGCGCACGCGCTTGTTATTCGCGAGAAATAAAGTGCAACGTGCAATTCCCGGGCCCGTATCGAACCCTAGTCCCACCTAGCTGATAACGAAACGGTGATTTTCACTAATTGCGGGGTAATTAAATGGACGACCAATTTGATCGTCTCAAATTATTGGTTACGGAGAACCGGAAAAGTCTCATAACTGTTATAAGGTAATAGGGGCACTCTCATAGGTTATGTTGCTTTGACACCGCAGAATGTACATGCCTGCTTTCCTTTTCTATTGCTCATCCTTTTATGCTAATTATACCGAATAGAATAGTGGAGCGCCGCACAAAATCGGACGCACGGGTCAAACCGGATACCGAACTGTTTTTCTTTTTTTTTCGAAAATCACAGCCGTGAGTAAAATTTATTCGTTTTTATTTTCAATAAAATAGAAAATTGTGTAAAATCCGCAACGGCGCTCGTTAAAACAGTTATATATATACATACACAATTTATATATATATATAATTAATAATATATATATTATTATTATAATAATTATAATAATTATAATAATAATATACATATTATTATTATTATTATTATTATTATATTATTATTATGTATACACACACACACACACACACACACACGCGCGCGCGCGCGTAAAAACGTCTGAGAATATTGAACACTACGAATACAGGAAGTCCCAAAAATGTCTCGCAATCCGGAAATGGCGGGTTCCTCGGATCATTCGAAGCAACTTCTTCCTTTACAAAAATGTTCTCCGAGGCGCCGTTAACGAGTTATCAACGAAAGAACAATGATCAATAAGAATTGAGTACGACTGACGCGAGGCGGCCCGGCCAACCAGCGCGCGAAGTCCGGTTCCGCTCATTGGTTTGATCGCCTCGCGCCAGCCGAGCTCGCCTCTCATTGGTCACTGTTTTTCGTTAATAACTCGTTAACGATGCCTCGGAGAAAATTTTTGCAAAGGAAAAAGTTGCTTCGAACGACCCGAGGAATACGCCACTTTCGGATTGCGAGACATTTATGGGACACCCTGTATAAAGCAAATTATTGCAAATTTGAACGACCAGATATCTTTGTTCTTACTGTTCGGCGCTGGCGGTTGAATTTTTCATGATTTCGTGAACGATAGAAAAGCGATGTAAACCGGTTCGATTCAGCAATGAGCATCTTCGGTCGTTGACCACGCTAGGTGAGGCCTTGGAAATAAAAGGAGAATGAACGTCCATGATACACCTCGATATTGAGCGGTCTATAAAAGTGTCGAACCTTCGTCAACGGACCGCGAACGAGCACGGTTAGCGATCGTACGTCCGGCTAGCACTTGTAATAACGGCGGTATCAATTTCTCTAGGACTCCGTTCGGTTTTCGAGGTTATCCGATCTTGAAGTGCTTCGTCCGTTGATGCTCGAGGAACGTCAAAACAGATCGGAAGCACAAAAAAGTGATCGACGATTCGCGCCGAAGAGTGGATTCACCACCGGATGTATTACGATCGTGCCCGACCATCTTCTTCTGTCATCGAGAGGTTATGTCACCGGATTCTTATGCATTTGTTGCGTACAAAAGGTTTCGATGATCTATTAAAATGCGAAGTTTCGGACTATACAGGGTGATTCACTCGAATCGAACGTTCAAGTTGTTCCCGTTACAACGAAAGGTAGGGAAAAAGATGACAAAATAAATTACTTTTTTCAAGGTCCTCGTTAACGTTTTTATTTCTTACAGCGCAATGACGTCGCCTGCATCGAGATGAGTTCGGCAACCTTCAATATCACGACGTTAAGATTATATAATTATATATAATTATATAATATTATTATATTAATTATTATATTATTGATTATATTATATTATATATATATATATATATATATATATATATTATTATATATTATATTGTATATATAATATCCATAAATTCGACCAATTTCGTCGCAGCATCGTACTTAACCTGTCCAGTGTTCCCGTGATACATAAACCGCGCAGTCTATTGACAAGGGAACGCGTGTTTGGTCGCTTTCAGCGTTTTCGACACGCTCAGCCTTAGGTTGCATAAATTATTCAAATAGAGCCACTTCGGGCGTGGAACGAGCCGGACGAACGAATCGACAGTTCCGAAATAAACGATCGTGTCAATTAAGTGGGTCGTCCGTTCCAAGGTTGGCCAACGGGGGCCGCGAATCGAGCGGTCGGTAAATTGACCCCGAGGATAAAGCTGCGACTCTAATCGCGGACAAGCGAATCCCATGAATACCGATCCGCTGACGAGTTTGACGTTACCGGCGAGGAAGCGCGGGACGCGGAGAGAGGGAGGGGGAAGCCGGAGGGCGGGGACCGCACGAAATGCGCGAGCACGAAAGAAAATTGTGAACACGATTAACCGTAATTACTGTAATGACGATGCTAAAGATCAAAGATAAGCGGGATGGGCAGCTGACACACGCGCGGACCTCGAACCGGCTAGGACCGTAACGGGATCAAAATCAATGGACGGACGGGTCTTAACAGCGCGGCGGCCTAAAGTGGCACGCCATAGGCTAGCCGCTCACCCTCGGCTCTTATTTACCGCGGGACGAAGGCCCCGGGACCGTGATGAGAGGCCCCGTGAACACAGTCGTCCGGCCACGACCGTCAGAAAATGTAATTTTATCTCGGCAGAAACGAGATTCGTTGCGTCTTCGTTCTTTCGTTTTTATTTCGAGCATTTCTACAGGGTGTCCAGAAAGTTAGACGCAATCGGGAATTAAAGGGTTCACGAGGTTATTTCAAGTAACTTTTTCCTTGGCGAAAGTGCAGTCCGCCGCTTCGTTTACGAGTTATTAACGGAATACATTGGCCAACGAGTGGCGAAAGATCGACCAGCGCGTGGCGGCCGAGCCAATCAGCGGGACTGGGCTCCGTCCGCTCGGCCGCCTCGCGCCAGCCGTGCTCGCCTCTCATTGGTCAGTGTTTTTCGTTAATAGCTCGTTAACGGTGCCTCGGAGAACATTTTTGTAAAGGAAAAAGTTGTTTCAAATAATCTCGGGAACCTCGTAACAACTATACTGCCCCCAAAAAATGATAGCATAGAAAATTTTTTGATGAAAATTAGCCAACTTTGACGGACGATAACTTCCGGAAAGATCGTCCTAAGATGATGATTTTTTCTTAAATTATAGCTTGAAATCTCTGCTTGAAGATAGCATTTCTGGGTTTTATGTTTGACGCACCGTCGCCACGGTAACCTTTTAAATGCGTGTGTCTGCGGGACCGAGAGAGTCGGGGATTTTTCGATCGCGGTCGAAAATTCAGCAGCTCCGCCGATCAAATGTTCGGGCTCGCGTTATCACCTGCCAGGGTAACTTGGCACCGGTCGCTTCGACGGCTCCCTAACAGCGTAGAACGCCACGGAGAGAAACCTGTTTGTCATGTACCTCGTTCTCTAGATATATTAACAGCGGGCCTGTTGCTCGCGAGCAATGGCTCGCGCTTAAAGGAAATCGTGTTTCTCGCTGGTCGTGCGCCGATATTAGGGGCGAACTACCGTGAACGGGACATTACCATTATCACAAAAATGATGAATCTTTTTAGCATAAAATTACACCCGTATTTTTAGCTGTATTACCGCGTATCTGATCGCACGTAATTTGAAGCCGCCGCCAACTGACACGTAATTATGGCAAACAATTCATTCTTTTCTTCTTTTTTATGCTTAAAAGTAATATCAATATTTTAATAATAGTTTAATAATAATATTTTTCACCAAGCTTTTATTTATTGCATCGTGTAGTTTTTTTGTTTGTTACAGTAATCAAACAATTCAAAGTTTTAATGCTGTTACCAAATTAACGATCTGTTGCAATAAACAATGAAGAAAATTCGAAATATATTAAAAATGTTTTTTCGGGATAATTTAATTAAGAAACGGGAAAATAGGAAGCAAACTTCAAGAATAGAAACACAGATTCGTTAAATATTCAGAATCTGAAGTATTATTATCATTATTATTATTATCAAACGTAAATATATAATATTATATATGTACATTTACGATCAATGAAAAAACAGTACTTACAAGATTAATATCAAGATTAATTTATCTTGTTAAACTGTCCCATTCAATACGACCAATTAGGACAAACTGCACTGTTTAAAAAGATTCGAAACAGAACAAGTAAACGTACAGTTCTCGCGCGACAAGGAGGCACCTTTCTGTTCACGTTCCCCTCTCCCACTAGCTGCCCCACTGTCGCAGCTATCGGTCGCTATTGGCGACCTGCGACGGCGATCTGCGCGCGCCGTTTTCGACCGGCAGCGACCGATAGCTGCGGCAGCGCCGAAATCGGCGCGCGCAGATCGCCGTCGGCCAATAGCGACCGACCGCTGCGGTAGTGGGGCAGCTAGTAAGTGGGGGAACGTGAACGCACAGCTGCCTTCTCGTCGCGCGAGCACTATAGGTGAAACTGATGCTATGCATTCTCCTAGTAAAAGAACTGATCGGTTCTTCCCTTCGAATTAAATTCTCGCGGGACGAACGTGGGTCACTCGAGACCCGTATCTCGTGCCGACAAAATTTTCTTCATGCGAGATTTTGTCATTGGTCAAAAACGACACGTCACCGTCCTCTGCGAGGTCCGTCCTCCGAGTGTTAATAGAGTTCGCGGAACACATGCTAGAGAACGAGATCTTTCTCTCTCACACACGCGCATGCGCACACGTATACTCGCGCGCGAATTAAGTACGTCAACTTTCTCTGATTGGTCCCGCGTGTCGTCGACCGCGCGGAACGCGGTCGGTAGCGAACCGCGCCGAAAACAGTTCGGCCTCAGCCATTGGCCTTGATCGACTGTCATAAAACCGGAATGGCCCGAACAATCGTTCGGTAACCCAGTTTTACCCGCCGTGGCGTTCCGGTGCGTAATATTTAGCCGAGCAGACCTGGTTTATTCAAGATCAAGAACCTTTCACCTCGTTTTATTTACGAGATTATCGTTCGTCCAGTTCGGGGGCTATCGAGGACATTCCAAGGTCATTGGCGGCGGTCATTGCGCGGCTTCGGAAGTTAACGAGGTCCGATGAGAGAGTTCCTTCGAATATTTTCGTTTCGAAATTATTTAATTTTAAAATTATTATAATTAAAAATTAATTTAATTTAAATAATTATAATTATAAATTTATAAATATATTATATATATAATATAATAATAATATATATTACATATATTATATATATATAATTATAAATTTATTATAAATAAATTATTACAATTAAAAATTAATTTAATTTAAATAATTTAAAATTAACTTTAAAATTATTATACTTCGTTTCGATATTTTCCGATATTGGTGCATGCTCGCGATGTACGATGGTGTGCGCGCGTACACTCCGCGACAAAAGGTTAACTGACTTTAAAATTAACGTGAATTTTCCGTGTTTAACGTTACAATCAAGGCTTTGTTTGTATACAAATTTGCGCAATATAACTGTAAACATTCGCAAGTGAAATAGAATTGAATTTGACTTGTTTAAACAATTTTATTTGCAAAGAAGACGCGGCGAATCGGACGTCCTTTTGACGTCCGGAATAAGACGTCTTTAAGACGTCCAGGGCTTATTGTAACGTAGCACTATATTTCTATAAAAATTCGTTTCGGTGTATCTTATGTAATTATTATTTTTCATTCGTTTATATATTCTCATGTATTTTTTATTTTAATTTATTTATTATTATTTTCATTTTTTTTATTACACTATTATTAATAATTTATTAATAATTACACATAATACACCAATCTTTAGTGAGAAACGTCAAATAGCCTGAATGAAAATAATAGCACAAATGGCTGGTCCCAGAACGTGTTGACAAGAACGAACAGCAACTTCGCGATGCTATTCTCGCATCGATGAATATTTTAATCGACGAGGAATCTGCGAACTTGAAAAAAACACCATATCAACCCAAGAATTTGCACGAAGTTCCACGGTCACATCCGTGTCACATACTGGAAGAGCTGACAGACGTTGCACATCGTTTTGCATTCTTTCGGAAAAAGAAAAAAATCCCCGAGGAGGCAAGCGCGCCAACAGCGGTTTATTTATAAAAACATCGTCATAGTGAACGGCGCGGCGCCGCGCGACTCTTTTTTTCCGCCGCAGCATCCCCGAGCAGCCGTTCCCCTGCTCGCGTAGATCCACGTAGACGAGCCGAGAGAGATCGGGCTTCTATAAATATAATTACGACTCGTTACCGGCGCGTCCTTCGCGATCGGAGAGTTTAATCGAACGATCTTGAAGCCCCGTTCCCGCTATCGGCGACGCCGTCCGCCTCTGTCCGTCAAAACAAAACCACTATTTGCGCTGTTCACAGCGGTCCTGAAAGCGATATCGATGCGTCCGCGTCACCTCCCCTCCCCTCGCCTCGCGTCGCCGCGCGTCGCCTCGCATCGCCTCGCCTCGCCTCGCGTCGCGTCCCGTCGTGTGTCACCGGTTCCCGTCGCGACCGCGTGAATTTTTGTCACGCGCCGCCGCGACGCGTTCCCGGCTCGGCGAAATCGTTCCGTCGATTTAGAGATTTCACGCGCGATCCCCCGGACACGGAAATGATAAATGACGATTATTTTGCCGTGGCCGGTGCGCGCGGAGACGACTCTATCCTGCTGTCACTAACGAGCTGTCACACGGCGAATTCCTTCGCCGCCGTGCTCGGTGACGCGCGCAACACGCCGTACGAGACCGACCGAGATCTGTATCGGATATATTTATTTATGCGAACGGCCGGACCGCGGGACAAATTAAACGAACGCGAGCGGCGCGAGCTTCCAGCATCCATCAC